ATGATATGTCGACTTTTTGAAGATGCATTCAAGTTACGTCTGAAGAGGTTCTCTGTGCCTCTTGGATTCAATGCCTTTTTCCTTCCCCAGTTCAGGGGAAGTTCTCAGCTATTATTTCAAGTACCCCTTCAGCACCTTTCCTCTCTCTTCCTCTGGGATACCTATTATCGTATATTATTTCTTTTTTTATTTATCACTTTTGTTCTGATTTTCAGCTCATACTCCTGGATTTTTTGACATCTCTCTTTTCTCAGCTTCCTCTTTTCCATAACTTTATCTTCTAGTTCACCTATTCTCTCCTCCTCTTCAATGTCCCGAGCTTTAGTAATTGGTTTCCATTTTGTTATACTACCGTTTAAAGCGTTTTCAACTCCTCGTGACTGTTAGTCCATGATCTCTGTAGCAAGAGATTCTCTGCTGTCAGCTATACTGTTTTTCAAACTAGCGTTAATTTTATGACTATTATTCTAAATTCACTTTCTGTTATATTATTTAAATCGCGCTTTTGGTCAGCTCATTAGCTTGTTGTTATTTCCTGGAGATTCTTCTGAGGGGAATTCTTCAGCTTGGTCATTTTGGATAGTCCTAGCATGGTGAGGACCTGCAGGACACTTCCCCTGTGCTGTAGTGTATAACGCACTGGGTTGGTGGAAGCTGAGAGACGCGGTCAGACTGATGTCTGCCCCAGCCCACCCCAGCTGGGGCCACAGTCAGGCTGAGTGCGTGCCTTCTTCCCCACCTCTCCCTGGGGGCGGGATTCACTGTGGTTGGGGTGGCCTGTCTGGGCTGTACTTGCACTGAGCTTGTGATCTTGGGGAGTCTGGCGTCTTAGCTGGGATGGGCAGGCAAGGTGCACAGGGGCAGGAGGGGCAGGCCGGCAGCTTCTCCTTGGGTGATCCACTTCAGGAGGGGCCCTGTGGCAGCAGGAGTGAGTCAGATCCGCTGCGGTTTCGGCTCCATAGGCATGAGCAGAGTTGGTGCTTGTGGGAGCCAAGTTCCCTGGCAGGAGAACTGGTTCTCTCTTTGGGATTTTGGCTGGGGATGGTAGGGAGATGGCTGGCGGCGCCTTTGTTCCCCACCAAGCTGAGCTCGTCCAGGCTCCCAGCAGCTCTCCTTCCACTGTCCTCAGCCTTCCGGCTTTCTGAGCAGAGCACAACTACGACCTCCCAGGCTAAGTCGCTGCTTGCTGTGGACACACTGATCCGTCAGGCCCCTCCGGCTTTTGCAAGCCAGACTGGGGGGGCTCTGCTTACGGCGGCCGACACGCCCCTCGCCCGGCTCCTCCACGCCAGTCAGTGGCAGCACCACCTGCCGCCCTTCCTACCCTCTTCGTGGGCCTCTCATTCTGCGCTTGCTCCGGCCTCATTCTGCTAATCCTCTGGCGGTTGGGGTTTCGGTTTCTGGGTTATTTAGGCAGGTGTAGGTGCAGGTCTAAGTGATCAGCAGGGCAGCGGTGAGCCAATCCTCCTCTCCTTCTCCGACCTGAAATTTGTATTCTTAAATCACTTCCCTGGACACTTCTAAGATTATCCAGCATTTCTTAATTTGTCGTGACTATTTCATAGTTACTTAATCTCTGCAGCAATAGATTCTCTGCTATCTTCTATGCTTTTTTCAAGCCCAGCTATTAATCTTATGGCTATTATTTTAAATTCTTGATCAGATATATTATTTATATCTGTTTTGAACAATTCTCTAGCTGTCATTTCTTCCTGGAATTTCTTTTGAGGAGAATTCTTCCATTTTGTCATTTTGGTGAGTTTTCTGTCTCTTATATGTTTTAATAGCTTGTTATGTGTCCTGCACCTGTGAGTACTACTGTGAGCCTTAAGAAGGGGTCATACCCTCTCCAGGGCCTGGCCCTTCAGGAGGTGTTTTTGGAGTGTGTTGTATGCTGTCTGTTGTTGTGACTCTGGTTGCTTTATCTCCCCAGTCATAGTGGTGGTTTGGACCTTCTACCAGGTGTGATTTGATTTGTTCATTGAAGTAACTCTGGAAAAAATTTTAAAAAGGGGGATGGTGGTGGAAGAAGCCTTATCCCATAGAAAGAAAGAAATGACAGGGGCAGGAAAAAAAAGGATAAATGATCAGGCAGAGAATCAGAGAAACTATACAGCTTAATCCAGAGAGAGAGAGAGAGAGAGAGAGAGAGAGAGAGAGGAAAATAAAGAAGGAAACAGAAGAGATGCAAAAAGAATAGATTAAAAATGTCTACTTAAACAAGCAACAACCAGAATAGAGAAGGGAAGAAATAAGAGGAAGAAAAGGAAGGAAAAAAAATATATAAAATAAGAATTGACCAAGAATCAATTAAGAAAATGCAAAACCACTGGACCAATATCTGATGGTGTCTTGGAACTGGTGGCTGCCCTGGTCTGGAGGAGGGGCCTTCTGGTTCGGTCAGTGTCAATCTTGCTCTGTTAGACATGCAGTTACCAGGCACTGAGGGATGTGGTTTGGTATCAGTGGGTGCCACATCTACTGTGGGCCCGTTTTCCATTCCCTGAAGCCCCACCTTGTTGGGGATGGGTAGAAAAACTGGAGACATCCGAGTCTCTTCTCCCCAGACCGGGTGTCCCAAACCACTCTGTTCAGGCTGCCCTCACAGTGCTGCGCGGGTGTGAGCGGGCCAGTTTGTCCCACTCCACAGTCTCCCGTGCTGCCCAGGTGCTTGGCTGGGATTCAAACCCTGATGTCTTAAAGGGTCCTATTCTGCCCACCCTGGTTCTGGGGTAGTGCCACTCCACCAGCCAGCCAACAAAGAACCTCTGACTGGCTGGTGCCTGAAGGGTCTTTTGTCCTTGGAATGTCTCTATACCTTCTTCTCACAGCACTCAGGGTAGGGGACTGCTGTCTCCCAGTGTGCCTCTGAGCTCACTACCAAGCTCCAGGCTGGCTCCCCTCCTTCCCAGGTGGGTGTACAGGGCAGCAGGCCCCAGTCTGGAGAAAGCCCCGCAACCCTGGGATGAGTTAGAAATTGGTTCTTTCTCCATTTTGTCTATTCCTCAGTTCATGGTTTTTCTTTTGTCCAAATACAATCCAAAATTCCAAGCCTCTCTTTCTCTTCCTTTTGTCTCCCCACGGAAGGGGATCCCTCCGCTCCATGCCTACTCTGCCCATTTTATCTCTCCCAATTGACAATCACACACCTGTGGCCTGCCAAGTTGTCCTCATGAGTCTCTGGAGACATTTCTGTCACTCTGTAGCACGGATTCCTAGAATTCCAAGTCTTCTGGCTTCAATACTGCTGTTGTTTGAGGGACGAGGGAACTTCGGGTCCCCCTACTTCTTTTCAAAAATTTTAGAGCGACAGAACAAATCATGACTGCTACTAAAATTTCCATTATCAGTTGAATTCTATGGGTCTCTGCTACACTCATGAGTAACTTTATGTTTCATCTTGTTTTTCAACTGATGAAATAAGAGTAGTATCATTACTAGATTATTTATGTTAATGTGGATTTTTCTCCTTGTCTGTAGTGGAAAAGTAAAAAAGCCACAAAATCTAATGTGCCATTCCTCCTTTGTTCTTTTTAATCTTTTTCTTTGTATCATAAAATTATGTATTTTATGACCAGGATCCTTTTTCCTTTAGCCATATTGCATTAGAAGATATTACATTCCACGGTGCCTCAGTGGCTCAGTCGGTTAAGTGTCTGACTCTTGATTTCGGCTCAGGTCGTGATCTCACCATTTGTGAGATTGAGCCCAGCTTCAGCTCCTTCTCAGCATGGAGCCTGCTTGGGATTTTCTCTCTCCCTCCCTCTCTGCTCCTCCCCATCTCATGCTCTCTAAATAAATATTTAAAAAAAAGAAGATATGGTCCTAGGATGTACACAAAGACAAATTCTCATTGAATGACAGAAATAGATGTAAGGGGAAGTATCATGGATGCCTAGAAATCTTCCAATTTCCTTCTGATTTTCTTTTGTCTTATTCATATCTGTGGAAATACATCTGTGTTCTGACAGACCACAGACCAGTATTTCTGTTCCTAGAGTTTTAAAATGTCTTTGCTTCTTTTGGTATTCAATGGCATATTGGAGGTGGAAAAATTAGGTAACAACTAGTTTAGTAAAACCTTAAAATATAAATTTGAGGAATCCATATAATGTTTCATGATGTCTAGTTGGTATTTACAAGTGGGTGGCTAGAGAAATATTGATGAGTCATTCATAAAGCTAAGATGATTTGACAGCTTATATATTTAAACAAGAGAGTAGAAGGAAACTCTAAACTCTAAGGAAGATCACATAGATGAAAGAAGATGGAGAAGCAGTGAATGAGACAGAGTAGGAGTAGTGACATAGGGGATATGGAGATGAGGAGAATGTCGTGCCCTGAGAATAAGAAAAAAACATATTCCATAAAGATAGGTATGTCTAAAAATATGAAATGCTTTGCAAAAATGTCAAGAAGGGTGAACTCTTGGAAGTGATTCCCAAATCATTTAATTTGGGAATTGGTATGACTTGGACCACCTTTGAAGGGGAGCTGTGACTTTCAACAAAATTGGCTGAATTACTTTCTTGAATAGAGAAGTGGAAAAAATGACTGATGCTAGAGAAGAAACGTAGGTGACTGTTGGTGGTTTAATGTATCTTAGTGAATAATGGATAGGGTAAAATCAGATGAGTAAAACTTACTTAAATGTTTAGTTGTTTTTATTTACTTTAGAATACAGTGCTTTATTCCATAATACCCATTTAAAGAATGTTATTTTAAGTATTGGTAATCTGTGCCTTAAAGAGTGTTTCCAGAAGCCTTTCAAAGTTTAGCATGATCTTAATCATATCAATATACAAATTGAATCATATCAAATTCAAAACTAAAATTTAAACAAGAAATATTTTTGAATATTTGCATTAGTTTTGATGTGAGATGACCTATAACTTTTTCGAGGTATATCTAATGACTTCATGTTTTTGATCAAACTTGAAAACACTTATTATTGAGTGTATGTATACAGACACAAATATATATTTTGTTTGTTTTAACAGAACATAAAGGAACAAGAAGGGATTTCAGAAGCTATGATAAGCCTTGGCAATTAAATGCAAAGAAGCCTAAAAAGTCAAAAAGTGACCTCGCTGTGTCTAATATTTCCCCACCGTCAGCAGAATCCAAATCATGTAAGGAATTTTGTCATTCAAATGTTACTTAATGTAAGTATGTGTTACTAACAAAATGAAGAAAAGGTAAGAGTTGAAGCCTAACTTTTTATCTGATAATTCTGGCTGTTAATCCTAATGAATGTCATGTTCATTTTAGCAGCAACATTGAGCTTTATTTATATATATCTACTCACTCATATTCTCAAGCATGTTTAATTGGTTTAGAGCTTTTTTAGTATAATATTCTTTTAAAAATGTTAGCTGCTTGGAGCAGCTTCCTTGCCTGTTACAGCATTATATCACATTCAAAGCAACAGTAACCCTATATTTAATAGTCTATAAAAACAAATTAAATCTTTTAGAGTAGAACGAAATAAAGGAGTTTTATATTAAAAAAACTTAGTAAAAATTTAAATGTTAATCCTTCTTTCTTCTGTTAGTACCCTCAGATTCTACTTCCTCAAAAATAATTTATATATTTTCATACCCTTTGAAATAGTTTGCATCTTTTATATCCTTTTCTTTGTACAGACTAGCGTATAAAATATGGGTGAGTTGATTTGCTTTATAAAACTGGTTTTAGGCTATACACATTCTTGAGCAATTTGTTTTTATTATTTTAGAATATACTGTGGATGTATTTCCATGTTAAACTTAGATCTAAGTTATGCTTTTTAATGAATACATGCCGTAGCATGCTGTGAATGTGCCATAATTTATTTATTCCCCCGCGGAAGGACAGTTAGATTGTTTACAGAGTTGTGCCACCACAAACTCTTCACTGAAATAAATGAATATCTTTCAATTTCTGATAAACAACCTTGTACATACATATATAAGTATAGGTGTTCTCATTTCTTCATGATAATTTACCAGACATAAGATCACTGGGTCAGAGGGTCAGTATATTTTTAGTATAGTAAATATTTCAGATTACTTTTTTATTTTATTTTTTATTTTTTTATTTTTTTTTCAACGTTTATTTATTTTTTGGGGGACAGAGAGAGACAGAGCAGGAACGGGGGAGGGGCAGAGAGAGAGGGAGACACAGAATCGGAAACAGGCTCCAGGCTCTGAGCCATCAGCCCAGAGCCTGACGCGGGGCTTGAGCTCACGGACCGCGAGATCGTGACCTGGCCGAAGTCGGACGCCTAACCGACTGCGCCACCCAGGCGCCCCTCAGATTACTTTTTTAAAAGGTAGTAGGAAAAGTATTTCAGAAGTCTGAGATTACCTTTGCTGTAGCATTACCATATAAATATTTTAAAAATTATTTCATTTTATTTTAATCAAAACGAAAATATACATGGTTTGAAAAGTAGTATTACAGGCTTCTAACATGGAACCACTTTGAATTCTTTCAGATGTTTCAGAGCTACACAAGTTTACATATCAAAACATACAAGTCATTTGCACAGTTCCCTTTTACTTTTTAAATTTGAGGCATCAGCTTTTGACCTCCTTGTAAGATTTTGTGACTTCAGACCTCAGGCCCACCTCATCCCCCGAATACAAACATGCAGATATTTCAAATGTTGAATATATACTGCACATCGATATTATTATGGCTATATTAATTAGTCTTTATTCCAACAGAGACATAGATGTCCAACTATTAATTTCTTTCTAGAACTAGTAATTGTTTTATTTTTGTATTTGCTTTGTTTTCTGTGTATCCCTCACTAATCCTTCCTCAAGCCTTGCCTTAAAGTACTGAATACTCAGTATGATCAAATTCTTCAAGTAATCCTAACTTTGATCTTATTTTATTTTATATTTTATATTTTATTCCATAAAAAAAAAAAGTAGAGACCTCTATTTTACAGCCCTGTGTCCTCTTGCTCAAATTTTGGCTTCTTGGTTTTGAGCCTTTTTCTCAACTGTCTTCTGAGACCATCCTTCTCTGCTATCCTGAAGATTCTCTTTTCCTTTCTCTTAGGGAGGGTCACCTATTTCCTGAATCCTAAGTCTTTCCACTTTGGGGTTTATTTATCCATTTTGTTAGAGAATCTCTACTACGAACTTTCTGAAAAAATGATTGGAAGATAAATGGTTTGAATCCTCACAAACTCTAAGAAGTAATTTTCAGTTGGAAATGTGAAGGAATTTCTCCTGTGTCTTCTAGGGCAAGAGTGGCTATTGAGAAGTCTGATGAGAGTTTGATTTGCTATTTCTGTCTCCGAAAGCTTTTCAGATCTTTCTTTATTGCCCGTGTTATAAAATTTTGCCTTGAATTGAGTTGAATTGATGTCTTGAATTGTTCTGGACATTTAATGGATCCTTCCAATCTGAAAAACAAGTTTTTATATCCTATTACCTTGGCATTTGTCTTCCTTGATTGATGCTTTAGTGTTAACTGTTATGAAATGTTCACCTTTTGGGGCATCTCTCCTTGGCATTAGATTTCAGTATTCTCTACTTTGCTGAATCCAGTTACCACTCCTCAGTTTTCTTTGCATCTTCCAAAAAAGATTTGCTATCTCTTGTCTAATAATGTCTTCTCTTCTTGTTCAACTAATTATTTGACAAAAAAATCTTTAATTTTAGTAAGAATTTGGGGGAAGTAAAGCTAGATGTGTTCAGTCTTTTGTTTTATCAGAAGATAGTAAAATTTCTTAAAAATATTTACTAATTGCTAATGAGGAAGTTAGTAATTATTTTTTAAGCTGCTAAAACATTATATAAAACATACTTTGCTTGTATATTTTCCCTAAATTATAGAAATTATTGGTTTTAAATTAGTACCTGAATTTTCTTTTTTTTTCTTAAATATTGTCATACTTTCCTTCACTAGTTCAGTGAAAACATTTCTTAAAACCCAGCTTTGTAATTTCCCTCTGTTTGCCCATAAGAAAACCATATCCAAAACATTTTTATTCTGTACATTGATCTTGACACAATCTCTCACATGATGATGAATAGTAAGTTTTTATCATTATGTAGCATGCTTATGGAGTAATCATTTTTTTTAAAACATAGTGCCAAGGTCAGTAGATCATCCTAAGTGGAACTGGCGAATTAAACCAGAAAGCCGTGATTTTGATGAATTGAACCACATCCTTCAAGAGAGCAAGAAGCTGGGAAAAGCCCTTGAGAATCTTTCTCGAAGTAAGTTCATTTACTTGATTATAATTGAAATTCCTAACCAGTATTAAAGTAGAAATATTTATTCCAATTTCCAGTAACCCATTTCCAACATCCTCATTATAATTACCTGAGAGCTTGTGATAGTGTGTGTGAGATTGGAAATGAGGATTGATCTTGCAATTTACACACATTCCTGGGAATACTGGCATATAGAGTAGGAGGAGCTGTAGACACTCCACCCCACCCTGTCTCTTGCCCTTGCTGTTTGACTCCAGTCTCTACAAGGTCTCTGTTACCCAAGTCAGCTGCACATGTAATGGTCTTACTCATTCTTCTCTTTTGAACCTCATTGTTTTATGTCATCCTAATTAGTAAACATACCATTTGATTTCATGAGTTTTTGATGTCTCTAAACCTCTCAGGGTAGCAACGGGGCAGATTCTTCTTAGAATCCTTTCAGAACCTAGCAACATATTTAAAAAAAAATGATTCTGTAATCCAAGGCCTAGGTTAGAGGTTTTGCTCTGCCACTTATGAATAACCCCAGGTAAATCATTAAACCTCCAGTGAGCCTTGGTTCTCTTGTCTCCAGAGTAGGAAGACATGGTCTGTCTCCTTTTGATAGGTGTGAAAGTTTAAAATTACATATTCCAAGTAAAAAACTTTAAAATATTACTGTCATGAGAATAGGCAATCAAATATTTTGATCTGATAAATGCTTTCTATATATGTAGATATACATTTATACCTTGTGGTTTTAGTAGTAGTGGGTTCAAAGTATTCCTGCCTTCCTCGGGTTCTTAAATATCTCTCAATTGTAAAATTAGGTGCCTTTAGAAGCCCACTAATGCTATGATCTTACTAAAATTTTCTTCTGCCATATGGAATATTAAAAATTCTTAAATAGAAGATAGGATACTAGCACATTCTAGTGGATTCTATTTTAGAATCTGTATGTTTCTTTACATAGCACAGTTTTACTAGCTTCATGACTTGTATCAAAGTTAAAATTGCCTGGGGGGATGAGCAAATTGGGTGAAGAGGAGTGGGAAATACAGGCTTTCATTTATGGAATGAATAAGTCATGGGAATAAAACGCACAGCATAGGGAGTTAAAAAAATTAAAATTGTCCCTTGGTATGTTTGGGGAGAAATAATATGTGTATAGAATATATATGCATTTGTATATTGTATATAATTATATATATTTACACTTTATATTTTATTGTATTATAATTTTACATATAGAGATTGAGTTTTTTTCATACCTCTTAATTCATAGCTCACTAGAGCCTTTTTTGGATTTTTTGTGCAGTGAACCCACATCACAGGTTAATTTGCCTTATCACAGGGTCTTATAAATTTTGAATTAATTTTTAAAATTTTAATTTCAGTATAATTAACATACAGTGTTGTATTAGTTTCAGGTGTATAGTGTAGTGATTGAACAGTACTGTTACTCGGTGTTCATCATGATATGTGTACTTTTCAATCCCCATCACCTAATTTAGCCCCCCTCCTACCTCCCCTTGGTAACCATCAGCTTGTTCTCTATAATTAAGAAGAATCTATATCTTGGTTTGTTTCTCTCTTTTTTCCTTTGTTCATTTGTTTCTTAAATTACACATATGAGTGAAATCATATGGTATTTGTCTTTCTCTGACTGATTTATCTCAGCATTATATTCTCTAGATCCATCCATGTTGTTGCAAATGGCAAGATTTCATTCTTTTTTATAACTGAATAATATTTCATTGTATATATATATATGTGTATACACACACACACACACACACACACACACACACCACATCTTCTTTATCCATTCATCTGTTGATAGACACTTGGGCTACAGCTATAATTTGGCTATAGTAAATAATGCAGCAATAAACATAGGGATTCATATATCTTTTGAATTCGTGTTTTTGTGCTCTTTGGGTAAATACTCAATAGTGGGATTACTGGATCATATCAGAATTCTATTTTTAATTTTGGCGGAACCTGCATACTATTTTCCACAGTGGCTACACGAGTTTGCATTCCCACCAACAGTACACGAGGGTTCCTTTTTCTCCACATCCTCAACGACACTTGTTGTTTCTTACACTTTTTATTTTAGCCATTCTGACAGGTGTGAAGTGATATCCCCTTGTAGTTTTGATTTGCATTTCCCTGATGATGAGTGATGTTGAGCACCTTTTCATATGTTTGTTGGCCATCCGGATGTCTTTGGAGAAATGTCTCTTCCTGTCTTCTGCCCATTTTCAATTATTTGTTTTTAGTGGGTTTAGTTGTATAAGTTTTTTATATATTTTGGTATGTCATTTGCACATATTTTCTCCCATTCTATAGGTTGTCTTTTAGTTTTGTTGATTATTTCCTTTGCTGTGCAGAGGCTTTTTATTTTGATGTATTAACAACAGTTTATTTTTGCTTTTGTTTCTCTTGCCTCAGGGGACCTATCTAGAAAAACTTTGCTAAGGCCGATGTCAGAGAAGTTACTGCCTGTACTGTCTTCTAGGGTTTTTATGGTTTGGGGGCTCACATTTAGGTCTTTAATCCATTTTGAATTTATGTTTGTGTATGGGGTAAGAAAGTGGGCCACTTTCATTCTTTTGCATGTTGCTGTCCAGTTTTCCCAACACCATTTGTTGAAGAGACCGTCTTTTTCCCATTGCATAGGATCTTATAATTTGCTATTAGTAGAAATTCTCTGCTTGTGATTTAAGAAGACCTTACCTTTGGCTTTGGAAGAAATAATGATAAAGTGAATTTGGCTTATTACTATATTATGTTCATGAAGTAAGTCTTATTCTATTAATATGTCAAAGGTTTATATTAATATGTATAAATCTTACCTCTTTGGACAGAGCCTGTGGCTCTTTATAGTCTCAATTTATCTAAAAACATGAATTAAAAGAAAGATGATTGAAGAATGTGCCCAATTGTGGCACAGATATAGTATTTTTGTTCTTTAAAATATGATTAATTGCCTTATAGACACTTGTTATATCATTGTTAATTTGTAGGAAAACATTTGGCCTGTCCCTAAAGCTTTTTTATTTGATTTTATTTTTATGTTTTTAGAGAGAGAGAGCACAAGCAGAGGAAAAGGGCAGAGGAGGAGAGAGAGAGAATCTTAAAGTGGCTTCATGCTCAGCGCAGAGCCTGATGTGGGGCTCGATTCCAAGACCTTGCGATCATGATTTGAGCCAAAATTGAGTTGGACACTCAACCAACTGAACCACCCAGGCACCCCTAAAACCTTTTTTTAAAAATGTTTATTTATTTTGAGGGAAAGAGGGAGAGTGCACGCTGGAGAGGGGCAGAGAGAGGGAGAGAGAGAAACCTAAGCAGGCTACACTCTCAGTGCACAGCCTGATGCGAGACTCCATCTCGTGAACCATGAGGTCATTATCTGAGCAAAATCAAGAGTCAGACGCTTAACTGACTGAGCCACCTAGGCACCCCAAAAACGTTTTAATAAAGGACTTTGATTGCCTTTCAGTTACATGTTTGCCCAGTTGAGTGACAAAAATATCAAGGTTCAAGCTATGGTCTGTCTCAAGAAAACTTGGGTGTGGCCTTTTCTGAGTCCTGTGATCAGAGGCTATTGGAGGGCTATAACAGGGGACTCATTTAATTCTTTTTTTAAAAAAAAATTGTTTTTAATGTTCATTTTTGAGAGAGACAGAGAGAGCATGAGCCAGAGATGGGGAGAGAGAGAGGGAGACACAGAATCCGAAGCAGGCTCCAGGCTCTGAGCTGTCAGTACAGAGCCCAATGCACGACTCGAACTCGCAAACTGTGAAATCATGACCTGAGCTGAAGTCGTTTGCTTAACCACCTGAGCAACCCAGGTGCCCCAGGTGCCCCAGGACTCATTTAATTCTTGAAGGAAATCTGGAGAAACAAAAATGGCTAGAAGGCAGTCCTTGGTGGGAGAGTAGAAGAGGTACAGATATGGCACATTATTCTTGGGACAAAGTCAGGGCCAAGGAAGCAATCAGGTGAGTTAGTAGCTCAGCCAGAAATAAGGTGTAATGTTCAGCTTCAATGTATATGATGGAGAATTGCTTTTGGCTTCTCTTGATGATTTTAAGAGGGCTTTAATTTTTGTGGCAGTAGTGGTGGGGGGTGGGGTTAGAGAGCAGGTCTTCACATATGGAGGGATTGCTCTTCTCTCCCTTTAAGTGTTTTTGAGTCTCTTTTGGAACAAAATGCTGCTTTCTTGGAATGACCTGACTTTTTGTGATTTTCAATATCTGAGGTTTAATACAAACTTTCTGTCTTCGGCCCAACATGTGACTAACTACTAAGTTATTAGTTTGCCCGAGATGACCAGTGTAAATTAGTAGAAATGCAGCTTTACCGTTTACTGGTGTTTATTTAGCAGTCTGTATGCCCATTATTTAACTATGTAATCACCAACTTAGTTCTTTATCTTCCTGAAGCAGAATGTCATTAATTCTTATTTGATTTTATAATAGCTTCAGGTTGGTAACTCTTTCTCTAACCTAATCTCCCATCTCTAATGATTGTTTTGCATTGTTTTATTTACTAAGACATAGGAAATGGACTTTTTCTTCCAGGCATGGTCAAAGTGATTATTCGGTGTCATGTTATTGTGGACCTTTCTCTCTCCAGTGCCATAGCTGTTGATAGGAAAGTTTGAAAATTTTTAGTGATCTCTTAATTTTTGTAGTTTCTGATAGAATTCTCTCTGGCAAGGTTTGCTTTATCTCAGTTGTACTTTCCAAAAGATGTGACATATTTTGGAAGTATTTATTGTTTACCTCAGACTGACAGCAAAAAATCATTTATATCTCTCAAAATGATAGAATTATCTCAGCTCTGCAGCTGTCAGCTTATCCAGGCTTCAATTCTCTCTCTGTCTCTCTCTTTCTCTTCCTCAGTCTCTCTCTCTCTCTCTCTCTCTCTCTCTCTCTCTCTCTCTCTCTCCTGAAAGGATTTAAATAATAACGGGAAAGAGTAGGTATTCTCTTCAGTTTGCAAATGGGAATTTTGTTTCAGTAACAACTGTACCATGCTTTTTTTTCCTGGCTTTTTGCAAACCTTTCAATGTAATGCTTTATCTTAAAGTCAGTCAATAACTATGACTCTCTTTATGTTATGATTCCCTTAAAAGGTAGATGTGTTAGAAAAACTTGCAGTGTCTTGTAATGCTGCATAGTCATGATATGGTAGGCATAGTGGATTTTTGGTTCCTGGATCCCTCCTTTTGCCGCATTTCCAAATGTTCTTCAAACCTGACTTTCACAATCCAAGAGCCTGGACTCATGCCTTTTCCTTCAAGTGTTGGTTTCCATCTGACTTTCAAGTAGTGAGAAAATTGTTTTTGAATAGGGAAGTTGCAAAGATACAAGACCTTCACATTCCCAAATAATGTATCTCTTTTAGTGGCTGTGATTGAAGGGCCTTAGGGCAGCATCCTTCTCAGTGCATTATATTAGGGCCCATCATCATACTACTGGTGATACTAACCTCAGTCAGTTGGTTAAGGTGGTGTCTACCAGCTTTCACCATTATAAAGTTAATACTGTTCCTTTTTGTAGTTAATAAATATCTTAGGAAAGATACATGAAGCCTTCGAAAATATCATGTTTCTTTTTCACACTTTCACCCAGTAATTTCAGCATCCGTTGGTGACTCTTGCCTAGAACAATTATTACTGTGGTTTTCTAAAAGACAGTTTCTATCATCCCTTTTATTCATTGTAATTCTTCTTTAATGGAGAGAAGGGAAAATGGACTTACAACCACCCCCAACGTAACAGGGGCCTACTTATCTTTGCTTGTGACTGGTCATATTTCTGTTTAATAAATATTTATATATGCATATGGATATTAATGTGGGTATATATGTAGATATGGATATGAATGTGAGTATAGATATAAGCATTTTTCTATAGGTATTGATATAAAAAAAATAAAATACATATCCCAAAGTTAATTCATACTGATTTTTCTTGGGAATCCCAAGTGGGCATTGCACTGTCAGCACAGAGCCTGGCGCGGGGATCCATCTCTCACAGATCGTGAGGTCATGACCTGAGCCAAAATCAAGAGTTGGGCACTTAACTGACTGAGTCACCCAGGCGCCTCCCAGGTTTGAGTATATCATTTGACCTGCTTCCTCAAATTTCCTCTTTTGTAAAATGAAGTAATTTATCCCGGATTACCATCAAGACCTCTCCAGTTTTCACAAGTCTTTGTTTTAATGATCTATAATTTATATTCCAAAGTTAAATGTACTCACGGCTTACGGATTGTGGTTCCTCCTGCTTGCATTCTTTCTAGCTCTTTGTTATCCTCACTCTTGTTCTTCCTGAATTGTGACTTTCAGTACATTGGAGTGTCTGCAGTATATTTGCACTTCATTCTTTTTCATCTCATCTTTTTTTCTTGCTTCCCCTGCCCATACTGAACTATGGGCTTGTGTCACCAATATTCTTGTTCCCTGTTGTTTCCATTCTTCTGCTGTGTCTCTTTGTGAAATTCCCATCTTGGCGTAAGTGCTGCAGTCTTCGGTTCTTCACCAGTAAGGCTGAGAGCTCCAAGGAAAAATGGCAGGGTCCAGCTGAACCCTACATCTAGATTCTTGATTTTCAGCACTGTTACTTGTCTTGGTCAGTCCCTCCCTTTCTCCACTCTTCTGCAACTATGAAAAACCCACACAATAATCTTCACACCCATATTTATTCCCTGCCTCACTGTTTTAGCAATTAGCTTGCCTCCAGCTTCATAGAAAAACTTAATTGTAAAATGTGTAAAATGTGTTCCCCTCTACCCATCTGCATGCGAAAATACATCCACATCTATCCTGCCCTTCTCAATGGAGGAGTTGTTCCTCTTGTTAAGGCTAAGCTTTCCACCCATGATCTTGATCCCATTTCCTTCCCAGTCCTCTGAGATCTGATTCCCATTAATCATTTTGTCTTTTCTGTATGTGGAACTCTTTCTAATTCCAGTCCCACTGATACTGGTTTTATGATGCTGGGAGAATTTCTTAACTTCTCTGTGTCTCAATTGCCTTTTCTGTAAAATTGCAATATGTATCATTAATTATGATTAATTATGATACATAATAATTGCTAATTAAATATTAGATATTATATTTCTACTACCGTGTCACAGGTGACCACAAACTTAGTGGCTTTAAAAAAATACCAATTTACTACCTTATAGTTTCTGTGGCTCGGGAGTACAGGCGTAGGTTAGTTGAGTCCTCTACTCTGTGTCTAGGCAAGCTGAAATTAAGGTGCTGGTTGGTGCTGCGATCTCACCTGAGGCTTCGGGGTCTCTTTCTACGCTCATTCAGGTCATTGGCCAAATTTAGTCCTTGCTGTTGTAGTACTAAGATCTCTGTTTTCTCATTGGCTATTGGCGGGGAATTGCTCTTAGAAACAGAGGCCATTCTCAGGTTCTTGCTTTGTGATCTTCTGGTAATGGTAGTTCACAACTACTTCTTTGAATGCACTGAGGAT